TTGGCTTGCGATGAAAAAGCATGCGATGAAATGATCTAGAACCACAACTTTCAACATGGCATGCTCAAAAATAATGTTATTTTTTAAAATGACGTTTATCTTTTGAAAACTTTTAAGCAAATACGTTTACAGTATAAAAATAACAAATAAACAGGCAAAATTTATTGTACATTTGCTTTCTGTTTGTCGTGCTCAAATATAAAAGTATGGTTATTGAGGTATTTGTTTGTATTTAAAAAGTATTCGGTAATAACCTAAGTGTAACAGAAAAAAATGCAAAAATAATTGTTTAAAAAGTTTCGTAATTATTGTTTTCTGTCGGTATAAATGTTGTTTGTACTTTCTGTAGGGTAGTTCAAGTTTCAGCAAATTTGTATTTTTTGCGGGACAATCGCGAATTCACTAGCTGATTCAGTAACTGGGCCAAACATTTTGGCAAGACGCTTAGCCATTGCAGCATCGGCCTGTTGCGCTTTTTTTGTTTCTGTTTCCAGATTTATCACAGTGGGTTTCGACGTAAAAAAAGTTAATGGATATTTTATAGTTGGCGTCACTGTTGTCATCGCCGATTGCCAGACAGCATCGCCACAGCCACTTTCCGAAACTGTCTTTGTCAATGAAACTACAACAAATTTTTTAGTTAGTTGAGTTTGTCCGCCATTACTAGGGCCCGCAGTTGAGGGAGGCAAGGCGACCAGCCGAACTGGCTGTCGTCCGTTGATCAGATGCACACTCTGGCCACTGGGCGTACTCATGACCTTGATGGGCAACGCTTTGCTGCCACCATTGACGGTAACAGAGGGCACTGTCTGGGCTGCAGACGGGTATTTCACTGCTCCTAACGCCGCCGAAGAAGGCATTTCTTTTGCAGGCAACGTTTTGGGGGCAGCAGTTGTGGCGGGGGTTGTTGCCGTTGTCAGTGCTTTGCTGGGCGTCAGGACGTTTAGGGTTGCAGGGCCACTGGTGCCAACACTTCCGCTTATACTAGTAACTGGGTTAGATGCTGAACTGGCGACTGCTGTTGCTGGCAGGCGAATCGTCCCAGAGCCCACTGACATCACCTTCTCAGCTGGCTTTTGCTGTTGAACGGGTGGCTGCAGTGAAGGGCCAATGGCTGCCGCCTTCTGAAGCGTTTGAGCACCTCCCGGCCGATAGATGATCACATGTTTTGGCTGTCGTTGCTGGCTGGCCACCCCGGCAGTGTGGCCACCATTCGGCCCCAGAAAGGACGGCCGCTTCCCCGCCGCAAGTACCTGGTGGTGCTCCACTTGTGGCGGCGGCGGCGGCGGCCTTTTCTGCTGCAGCAGCTGTCCGCCAGTGGGCGCTTGGTAGTTGGCCACATACTGCCGTTTAAGCATTTGCTGGTGCAGTTGCGTCTGCTGTCTTTGATATTGCTGCCGGCTAAGGCTGCTCGGTAGGCGCGTCAGCTGTTGCTTCTGCGGCTGCCGTTGTTGTTGTCGAGGCAGTTTTTGCTGTTGTTGTCGGTTCTGCATTTGCTGTTTTGGTGGCTGAGACTGTTTCTGCGGCGCTGGCTGTCGCTCCTGCTGGCCGATTCCCCTGATGCCTTCGTTTGGAATGACAGCTGCCTTCAGCGCACTGAGCACTCGCAAGTCAGGCCTTGCTAGCAGCGAAGTAGTACGAGTTGCCTCTCTTCTTTTGGCATAAGTCTGGCTACTTTTTTGCCAATCAGTATAGGTTTTTCTCTGAGTTTTGCACCACATATCGTAGACAGACTCAAAGTTGGGAAAAAACTTTGCAGCGTGGAAGATTGTTGGGATCATTCCTTGGTGAAGCTCGACATCAATCAAAGGGGATGCTGGAAGTGGCTCAACTTTTTGCCTTTTTGCTGGCAACGGTGACTGCACATCTTCAGAAAGGTTACTAGAAAGGGCCTGAAAAGCTTGCTTCATCTTTTCCTGAAGCAGAATTTTGCAGTCGTCATCGGAGGGAAACTCTTTTAGAGGAAGATCTGTTTCTTCCAATGAACAATTGTCTAACTTTTTTACATTAACTTTGATGTCAATATGTTTCGGCTGCTGCTGGTTTTTTCTTTTATTGCTAATACTAACTGAACGCTTAAACGCTTTAGGTTTCTGAGGGTTTATCACAGTAAAGTTGTCAGTGCTCAACTTTGGCTCTGAGTTGTTTAGTTTTTGTGGTTTTTTCTGCAGTTTACCATGTTTCGGCGTTTCTCTTGCTTTCCCATGATCAAAGACCCTTTTGCTTTTCTTAAGGGCATCTCCTGAAACTTGCCTAGAATGCACACCACCGCCTTGACTGTGAGTTTTAAAGTTCTCTAGAAAATAAAACTGAAAAAGAAAAGGCAGGCAAAAGAAAGAAAAACAGTTTTATAGTTAATAAGGTAACGCAGGCTACAGCTAAAGAAAGAAAGATTATCTGTACCTCATCTTCAAAGTTATCCGGGTCGACGTACTTTTTGCCAAAGTTCTCATCATCAAGGAAGTCGAATGAGTAGGTGTACTGGTCCTTGTAAGGCACAGCCGCTCCAGTGATTTTTCGTTTTTGTCGTGTCACCGTGTACAAAGTGCTTGAAGGACTTGTCTTAGGCGGGCTGTCCGTTTTGTCTTTAGCTTCATCTGCTTGCTTTTTGTCTTTTTCTTTAAGTTTTTCTTCAGTTTTTTCTGCATTTTCCAGCAAGTTCTGTGTATCTTCTTTACATTCGCACCAAGAGTAGTCTTGCAAGTCTTCTAAGTTGCTGAAACAGGCAAATTCAAGGTCATCTATCGTCTCACAAAAGAGCGGTTCCGGCTTTCCCACAGGGTTTGCTTCAAAGTTCTGATAAGTTTGCTCAAGAGTGTCTCTCGACTGTTCGGCTAGGTCGCCATTATAGTTTAGATACTCATTAGGGTCTGTTGGTGACGCCTGTCGATCAGAAGTGACCTGGTTGATGACCTGCCTAGCCGATGACACGGCCGACCATTCTAGAGCAGGTTCACGCCCTGGAGGCATCCTCTCCTTTCCGTCGAGATGACGTTGATCAGGGGGCGTTTTTCACTGTCGTTTGGAGCTTTGATTGTGAAAAGGGAGTAACCGGCGCTAGAACTAAACATTTCAGCAAACAGGTTTAGTGAAAGGCACTTTTGGTGGTAGGGGACTCATCTGGTCAGTGGCCGCTTGTTCTTTGTTTACTCTGCGCAAGCAGTCCTAAAAGGTATGTGGGAGGAAGAAGGCAAACGCTGGAAGTGGCAATGGTGGTGGTGGCGGTGCTCTGAAGACTACCAAGGTTCGACTGCACTCAACTGAAACACTATAAAAAGCTTGCGGAAGTGGTTGGGAAGGAAAGCTCTGGCAAAAATGGCGGTGCATCTGGGAACTGAAAGGCACGTTGTTAAGAGATTTATTAAAAAACAATACTATCCGTAGAAGACGTGTTGAAGGACAAGCAACAGCAGTTTTGGTAGGAAAAAACTAGTCAATCTAATAACTTAAATGGTAAAAACACTAAATTGGTTTTAAATATTTTGAGTTTTTAGCTAGACTACTTACTGGTAAAATTACTTAGTTATCAAACCTAAAACTAAAAATTTAAACTAGAGAAAACACAAAATTTGCCTCTAAATGACGTTTTTAAAAGTTGGTTGCTATTTTAACTTAAAAGATTATTTGTGTAAGTGTTGGTTGAATAAATATAGCCTTACCAAACTGCAATGAGCAAGATAAATTGCTTTCACCAAAACGCCTAGATTTATGTTTTTAGAAAGCCAGTAAAGAAGTTCTGAGTAGAGTGAACACAAGCATAAGTCGTCCAGGTTGAGTTGTCAGAAGGAAACTGCCTATATACACAAGCAACTAACTTCAAACTCACAAAGTTCTTGTTAAAAACAGCTTGACATTTGCTATTATAAACGTTTAGTTTTAACGATATACATTTGCATTCAAAAACTGGTCAAAGTATCTTAATAACAAAGACAACTTTGGCTACTAACTAACTCATTTAGTTGTCGCCGTTTAGCGATCTTTCGTTTGTTGAGTCATGGTCATTAAAAGTAGTGTTTAAAGTTAAAGTTTATGTTTTTCAAAATGTTAGTCAAACCAGCTCAGATAACTATGACTGTTACTTTTAGTTTTAAACGGTGTTACTCGAAACTATTTAGTTTAAGGACTCAAAAAGTTAATTTTGGAAACAAGTGCCAAACACCCAACCATTTATTTTGTACGCAGCAAAAACGACAGCAATCAGCAGATTTGTGAAAAGTTATGTAATATATTCGTTGATTTTTTGGCCGTGTTGCCAAAAGTTGTTTCAAAACAGTAATTTGATTTGAGATTGCAATTTGATTTAGGAAATATATTTTTATTAATATGGAATATATCACTCAACATAAAAAGTTTGCATTTGACAGACGTGGGCTAAAAACTGTGATAATGTAAATTAAAATTAAAGAAAAAAATAAATGATAACAAACTAAATGAGCAAAAAAATCTGTTTGAATCAAATATGTTAAAATTAAAGAAAAAATAAATAAATTATCAATGTCACAACATGATTCACTTTTTTCATTCTACGGTAATCTATCAGTGTTTATCAGTGTTGTTGATGTGATTCAGGTGTAGATCGTGTCAATGTTTATGTTTGTTGATTCGTTTCTCAGTGTGCGATGTGAAGCAAAAGATAAAACAGGTAAATGCATCTATTTAAATTTGTTATCACTATATGATGCATCAAAAGAGGATGAAGGCAAAAGAGCAGAAGTTGTTTTGTGTTTTGTCGTTTGAGTTACAAAACAGTTTATCAAACACAAAACAGGAAAAAATGGCAAACAAAAGCAGTAATGAGCAGAGATGTGAATTGGGGAAGATGAACAAAAGAATATAGGTCTGTTCAGTAGAAGATAAAACGCGCATAATCTGTAAAGTGTGTGGGTGTGTGTTTGGGTTTGGGTTTCTCAATGAAACATTCATTTTGCAAATAAAAAAAAAGATATCAAAATACGTCAACAATAGTATCGAGCTGCCGCCCATCACTGTTTCTTTATCCTTTAGAATCCATTAGTCGGCGGCAGGGACTGCTCGTTCTCGCTGACGAAGGTCTTCATGTCTCGGTGGTGATTGGAGCCGAGGTGGCCATTGGAATGTCCGTTGTCCGCTGTCGTCGCCTTTCCGGAGGACTCTCCATTGTGGCCGTTGAATTTGCTGCCGCTGCTGCCATCCTCTGCACCACCACTGCTGGTGCCAACTGGCGCCTGTTCATTGGAGGCCTCATCTGAGTTGTTGCCATTGTTCGCCTCGTTCTCCGACTGACTGGAGTCGCCGTTGGAGCCGTTAGAGTCCGTTTGCTTGGAAGCGCCCTCCTTTGCTTTCTCGTCCTTGCGAGTGCGCTTGAGAATCTCTTGAACGCGCTGAAAAAAACCAACAAAAATTAACGTTATTGTTTAGAATTTAAATGGTGAGAAACAGTCTGTAAAGTAGGCACACGTACACTTTTGCGCTTCTCCCGTTCGGCCATCTGCTGCTGGAGGAGTTGGGCGCTGCGCTCCTCAAGCTGCTCCTTGGTGAAGGTGGTGGCGCCGGCTTTGCTGTTGCCGGAAAAGCCCGGTTTGTTTTCGTTGAGGAGCGAGAGGTCAAGCGAGGCGGTCATAGAGGCGCCGGCCAGCGCTTTTTCCGCCATCTCACTTCGGCTGCTGTTTGCTCCCGAATTGATGGCCAAAGCCGCCAGGTCGCCCGTTAAACTGGTGCTCATCATGTCACCGGTCATCACTGCTGGTCATCACCGAAAAAGAAAAGAAAGAAAAATAGTTTAGCAAAAATGTTTCCGAAATGAAAAGTTTTTCTTTTTACCGTCTCTAGGTGGCGGCACTTGAGGGCTGGCTGCTGACGGTGAAGAGTCACCGAAGGAAATTAGCTGCTCACTGTTGACGTTTGCTGATTCAGTGACAGACGAAGTTTGCGAAGGTGCCGGAACAGCTTCGGACGCAGTTTTCTTTGCCTCCTCGCTGCTCACTTGGGCCAACTCGACTGAGAGAGGAGCGGCAGCAGCAGCAACAGCAGTGGAAACTGATTCAGGTTTGTTTTGCTGCTGTTTGTGTTCATCGTCCTCATTGTCCGCCTCATTGTCGGATGCTTCAGATGAGGAGGAAGAAGACGAAGATGAGGAAGATGCCGCTTTCTTGCTCTCTTCAGACTCTGCCACGACCGGTGCCGGCTCTGGTTTGACAATTTTGGCCTTTCTCACTGGATTCTGTTGCTGCAGCAGTTGCTGCTCCTCCTGCTGCTTACGGAACATGGCACGTTTCTCGGCAAGGGCTCTCTTGTACTCGGCCAGGCGGTCATCGGCGCTGCCCTCAAACTCTTTTTCGCCTTCATTTGCTGCTGCATTTGCCGCCTCTTCAGCCGATGCTGCAGCCGATTCTAAAAGGAAAAAGGAGAAAAGATGGACATTAGTTGAACAGTTTATTTTAGCGTTGAAGTTGTGTTGTTGAGGTTTAAACTTACGCGTCGATGAGAGTTCAATTTGACTAAGTGGACGAGGCTTAGGCGTCGTTGCCGGACGACTTCGACTGGGAACGGCTGGGGTCGCAGCAGCAGCAGCAGATGGTGAACTAGTGCTCGACGGTTCGGCTGCTGCAGTCTGCGGTCTGGGACTCTTGAACAACGTTTTTGGCGGTGGAATCGGTTTGACTCGTCCTTCACCTCCTTCTGTCGCTGGAGCTGGCTTCTTGGAACTGGGGGTAAACGGCTCCATTTTGGGACGCACAAATGACGCTGATGTGGGCACTGAAGTTAACAAAAATTAATTAATCATTAGTCAAAATTATTAACAATTTAACAAAAGGACTTGGTTTGGGCTCACCTTTCGGCTCCACTCGTCGCCTGGGCTGTGCCAGCTGATCCAGTCGATTCATGCTGTAGGACTTCTTGGGGCGGTTCTGCGGCCCGCCAAAGGGCGTACGGTAGAAGGAAGAGGAAGAGGTGGGCCCCTGTTGGAAGGACTTGGTGGACATCATCGAGGAGATCATGCTGTTCTCCTTGCGCAGAGAGGGCGTGCCCGAGGAGGCGGAGGTGGGCATGGCGTACTCGCGGAAGATGTACTTCTGCATGGCGGGCACCAGCTCGGGGTCGTGACGACGAGCGGCTCGGTAGTTGGAACTACCACCACTGTTGCTGCTGCTGCTGCTGGGCACTATCATTGACTGGGACATTAGCGACGGCGTCGTCGTCGTGGACTGCTGCGGTTGCAGTGGGGTTCGTGGACTTCGAGTTGCCGGCTGGTAGTTGGCGTCATCCTTGGCAAAGACGTGCTGAGACGATGCTTTCAGCGGTGTGGAAAAGTAGGCGGATGAACTGCTGTCAACCTGCGTTGAACCACCACCGCCGCCACCGCTGTGGGCAGCCCCAGCGTAGAAAGTGCTGGGAAATATCTCCGATTTGGGCCTGGCACTGGGAATGGGCGTCACCAGCGGTCGGGTGAGGTCAATGTTCCGCGGACGGGTGCTCCCAAAGGCGACCGAAGGGTTCTGGTTGAAACCGTGGCTGTTCATTGCAGCGGCCACTGTTGGTCGTGGTGACTGCTCAATCTGTCGTTGAACGCGTTCCTGACAGGAAAACAAAAAGTGTTTTGTTTAGTAATTGATATTTAGTTAAAACAGTTGATAGCTTTTACCCTTCTCGCCTCCTCTATTTGAGTGCGTCGTTCGGCAGCAATCTGAAGACGCTGCGATATATTTGAATTTGACTGAGAGTTTTTGTTGTCCATTGTTTTGGATGGCGCTCTTCGGAATACAATGTTTTCTGTTATGGGGGGAAAAGTGAAAAAAAATTAGTTTATGAAAAAAAGAACTTAGTGGAAATGGCATTATCTAGGCAAACAAGCCAGAAAACAGATTGGACGTGCACATGCAGTAGCAAAAAAGCAAAAAAATGAACAGATGGTGGTGCNCTTCGGAATACAATGTTTTCTGTAATGGGGGGAAAAGTGAAAAAAAATTAGTTTATGAAAAAAGAACTTTGTGGAAATGGCATTATCTAGGCAAACAAGCCAGAAAACAGATTGTACGTGCACATGCAGTAGCAAAAAAGCAAAAAAATGAACAGATGGTGGTGCAAACAAAACAGTATGCAAAAGTAGAGTAAAAGTAGTAATAAAAATCACATAATCGAGCCTACCAAAATCGAGCAAACAAACTTAAAACCAGAGATAAAATCAAAATAAAAACAACTAGTTAAACACGAATAAAATAGTGCAAATAATAAAAAACCAAGGGCAACAACTGAAAAAAACAACTGTCACTGCTGCTAGCGTTGCTCTACATTCCCAAGAATAGGGAATCACAACCACAACAGCAGCAGCAGCTAACATAAGTTACACCACAACCATCGGAAATGATGGCAGTGGTGCAATGGAGAAAAGGGCAATGGCGACAAATCATAATAACAAAAAGACAGCAAATCATAATAGAAAAATGAACAACTACTGGTGTCAGCAAAACGTGCGTGCGTATGTGTGTGTGTGTGCTTAGGCGTGTCTCAAAGACGAGTGTCTGACTAGGACGCTTGCCTGCTTTGCTGTAGCCGCCTGGTGCCGCCGCAGACGCCAAAGACGCAGATTTGGGCGCCGAGCGTCGCTGATCGACGGGCGTCGGCCTTGAATAGGAATGCTGCTGGTCACTGCCGACGGTGGACGCCAGCGAGTCAAAGGCAGCAGAGGAGCGGGCGCCCAGGTGGTAGTGTTCAGGCAAAAGAAATTGAGGCTGCTGTTGCCCTGTTTCAAATGCAGTGTTCACGGCGTACGGCAAACTGCCCAAATCGTCGGCCCCGCCTGCTGCACCTGATGCACCTGCTGCTGCTGCACCGGAAAGAGAAAATGCAGCGGCGGCAGCGGCATTTGCTGCCTGGCCAGCATTTGCATTTGTTTGCTCTGAAGAGGGCTCACTGCGGAACATCTCCATAAACTGGCGGTGGTTGAAGGCGCCCAGTGGCTGGGCGAGCATCGGATCGGCGGCCACCATCGCCGACTGCGAGTCGAGGTAGTCAAGGAAGAAGGGCGTCGAGGATTCACCCTCCAGACTGGTCACGTGACATTCGGAGGGCTGTTTTTTGTTGGCCGTCCTTTCCTTAGGAGCAGCAGCTGAAGACAGCGCAGCTGGCACCGTTTTTGACTGGGGAAGTCTTCCAGTGCCTGGCCCGGCTCGCCTTGACCCAGGACCCTCGGCAGCGACATTTTTTGGCTGGTGCAGGTTAAACTGATGCTGGTGAGGATGAGCACCTAACTTTGTTGCCGCGTTGTGTACCGTACCCTTTGAAGTAGACGAGGAAGGAAAAGAGGAAACCGGATACGATCGCAAAGACTGCTGAAATGAGACGGCAGGCGAAATGGTGGCGTGGTTTGGTGGTGTGTTACGACGAGCAGGAGGAGGTTGATAATGATGATTGGGGGCATTTCGCCAGAGTGGCGCAGTGCTGGGCGGTAGTGGATCCACCAGGACCACTGACCGAGGTCGAGGGGAGCTCCTCGAGGAGGAGGTCGGAGAGACGGAGGCATCTGGTGAACAGCCTCGAAGTTGACGGAGAGGGGCATCACTCCACAGCATACCCTTTCCCTTGTTGATCGGATGATGGGACTCCATTTTATTACTTCAGATGACTGTTTTTTCTTTGACTTTTTGTCAACGTTTTTGCAACAATAAAACCACAAATTATAAACAATGTTGCCACTGACCAAAAACACATTAAAATAAAATTAAAAAAAAAATAACTGAAAACACCAATCACACAAAAACTAAATTAATGAGCTTCAATAAAAATAGAAGTGTGTCCAAAGTGTGTGTGTGTGCATTGACTTGACGTGCCAAATTTCCCTTCTTGTCTTGTTGATAAAACAAGCAATGTTTGCGAGAAAAAGGCAATCGTATTAGGCATAACAAACAGTTGAGAAAAAGAAGGAGAAAGAGATTGAAAGGTCAACAGACATGCAACACACACACACACAGACAGACAGACACATAAACAGAGCGTTGGACAAGCAAACAAATGGGTAAATCATTGAATCTGTCAGTGGCATCGGCTAAATACTGCCCATAAATCACTCCCCCGAGAGACTGATATGTGATAATGCCTCACCAGCACCTGCCATCAACAGCAGCAGCAGCAGTGATTATCAGCAGACTGCGGTGGCGATTCCAATCACCAAGTGCAAGTGCAGTGTCAAAGTCAATGTGGCACAACCTGCAACCTGAACTGATGACAGTGTAGTGGCATTCACCGGCGCTTCTGTTACTGCTCTCACTTGATCATGTAAACACACCGATTTTGTCACAATGGTGCAACACAACTCTGATTGACTGACTGATCATCGTACTAAACAATTGACTGTGGCGGAAAGTTGACTGATGTTTGCGCCGGAAACCCTGCAGCAATCACAAGCAATATAAAAAGCTGATTAAAAGTTGCAATTGTCTTTCCAGTGCACAACTAGTTGCATTGAGGTGAGAACCGTTTGACTACTGAATGGCAGTTTGAAAGCGCTAAAAAGCTAGAAAGCCAGAAAACAGAAAGAAACAGAAGGAAAGAGCGAAAAGGGTGAAAAAGTAAAAACCAGCTGTGCAATTACAGTTGGCTAAGCTGTCATAAAGTTTGTTTGAAAGCAAGTTATAAGTAGAAACAGATGCAAACACATACCTGGTAAAAATGATGATAAAAACTAAATTTATAATGTGATGTTTTTAAATAAAAAATAAATAAAAGCAATCACAGAGAAAGTTGCTGTTGGTAAAAAATAGTTGATTCCAGTCAACTTGATTGTATTTTGAATTAATTTTAGAAATTAAATTGCAGTAAAATGCATATGTTGATTCAGGTCAGGTTGAAATTGACGAGATGAAGCAATTAAAGTAAATGCACTAAATGCGAAATGATGAAATCCAACAAGTGCGGTCCGTTTGAGTCAGATCTGAGTAAAAAATAAACAAAAAACGAGTTAGTCAAATGAAAAAAAATCAAAAAATAGTTTAAAACACTAAACATTTGACACATTAATGTTTTTGCAAATCAGTAAACTTAAAACATAATGACTATCAGCAATTACAAAAACGAAATATCAAAGTTAGACTCAAACATAAGTAGTTATAGTTTTAAATAATTATGCTTATTCTGATCATTGTTAGTGGCAGTACTAAAACTCAAAATGCTTTTAAACATCACTCTTTTCTTTTTGTCACAGTCTTTTGCAGCTATTCTAGTTCACAATGAAGACAAACTGCCTAAAACTGATCAATAATAGCTGCTCAATGAGCGGACGTATCGGCATTTAGAAACCACTGAATCGGCGATGATGCGACCCGTACCGACAGTCAGGCTTGTATTCAACAAGCAGACAGTGTTGCTGACATGGACACATAAATAACCATCACCACCATTACCATCATCGCCATCACCACCACTACTGGACACAACAATAAATGGTCTGATTATTAATTATTTATGAGCAAAGCCAGTGAAAATGCAATTCGATGTGGCGGCAGTGAAGAAGATGACTACGAAAAGACTGTGACTGCAAGGGAAATGGCCGGTGAATGGGTCGTTGTCGTGGTGGTGATGAGAAATTGGTGGTGAGCAGACTTGCCCTCCTTTAAGCTGACACAACAAAGCAACACTGCTGATCGATGCTGCTGCTGCTGTTGCTGACAAACACACGTTCAGGGATAAAGCTTTCCGCATTTAGGCAGCAGAGGAGTGATTTTGTCGGTTGTCTTTCTCGTTTTCTAAGATGGTCAAGTGAAACAACAACAGCAGCAGCAGCAAAAAGGCAGTGGCAAGACAAACCCAATCTTAGTAGCCCAAATCTTATCTGAAGAGGCTCACTTGCCGGCCGGCAATTGTCCACTTGTCTTTCGATGGCGCACACACACATACACAAACTCACTAAACACTGAACACTGAACTGACTGCCAAGTGGACAGCCGATGACAGGTCACTTCTGCTGCTGCTTCTGCTGCTGTTGTAGATGATGATGGTGATGAGCTGTCTGAGAAGTAGTAGTCGTAGTAGTGCTCTCAAACAAACGTGCAAATGCCGCAAAGATAGTAGTACATACATTTACTAAAAACAGAGAGATCAGAGCACCGACATTGCAGATCAGCAAAACACCGAAACGGGCATGAACACTGAACGGACTGTGGCTCAGTGGGCAAACGAACACACACACACACACACACACACTTGACCATTTCTCCACAACAACAATTGATGCTCTAGTAGGCACTTGGGAAGACTGCCATCACCAGCACCGGCAGTACCATTACAAAGCTGATGAGTGGTGGCAAGCTGGGCTGTCGATGGTCAAATCAATTGTTGTTAGTACCAGCACCGCCATCAGGAGCAGTTGGTGGTAGTGATGGTGGTGATGGTGATGGTGGTGGTGATGGTGGTGGTGCATTGATGAAACGGCATCAGTGATGCGATGCGCTCGTCAACAGGTACTTTTCTATCTATTTCTTTTTATCTAAACAGTCAGTTGAGGCAGCATGGGGTTGACGGGGAGATGATGCAGTCAGTACAGTAGATAAAAAGAAGAAAAATTGCCTAAAAAAGTAGTAGTGCCCTTTTTCAGCTGGGCAGGATAATCTATCTAATCTATCGATTCAATTAGTAGCAAACCCCAACTGAGACAACGATAAATAAAGAAGAAAGACAGCAAACAGTGGAAAACTAAATTTACTAGTTGCAAATGCCAGAGTTTCAGCTGTTCAATGATAAACA